GTTCTCCGTCGGGGATGGGGACTTCTCTGGCTCGGTCTTTTTCCCATTCTCCATCCAGGTGAGCCTCGCCACATCGGGGTAAAACCCCACCAGGCTGCCGGGGCACGATCTCGTTCACGGGGACGGCACCAGAGTAGTTGGCGGCCAGCCTGGGCCTGGGGGAGACTGGAACAAAACAGCCCTTACAGGGGAGCTCGTCCTGAGCAACTGTGGGAAGGTTGTAGGTGTGCGTGTGTGTGCTGGGGCTGCACCCCAGAGCTGAGACTTGTCTCCAGGTCTCAGCAGGGCTCTGGAGCAGGCGCAGCCTCTCGTGCTGGGCCCCTGGTGTGTCGCGGGGGTGCAGAGCTGTGCACCAGACCCCTTTGCACACCACAACCCTGCCCCACAGAGACCCCGGGGACAGGGAACATGTTGAAGTGAATGCAGGAATCGGGGTGCAGGGAGGCGCAGACTCACCAGCTTTCTTCCTGGGGTGAAAACCTCACAAACCCTCCCTGCATGGTTTAAAGTGGGGCTGGTGCCGTTCCAAGGCTCCCCTCATCAGCCCCCATGGGCAGAGCACCGTCTCCAGCCTGGCCGACGATGGGAGCGCCCGGTCTGGCCCAGCCGGCTCCTCACCTCGCAGGGCCTGGCTGAGGCTGTACGTCCCCCGCAGCGGAGCCGACATGGTGCTGTGCTCGATCTGGCAGGTGAGCTGGGAGCGGATGTCCCCGACCGTCAGCGTCCTCGCCAGGGTGCTGGACACGCAGTAGGAGTCTCTCTCATTCTCGAAAACACGGCTGAACCTGAGGCTCGCAGGAAACATGGGCTCGGGTCCATTCCAAGGGAAGATGCAGCCTGGTTTGTGACCAGAACCATGCTGGGCTTGCCGGGCTCGGTCTTCTGGTGGATGATGCTGGATGGCTTCATGAAATGCTGGGTGCTTCCCATCAGGACTCCCTACCCTGAGCTCTGAGCGCTAGGGCAGTAAGGGCCTTGGGCTCGAGCAATGTCAGTGACCCCAGCACAGCTGGGAGGCACTCACCTTCCTTCTTGTCCTCCTCCATCTTGTTGCTCGTCGCGGTGACTGCCAGGACGCGGGTGACGCTGGCGGGGGGCTGGGAGTCGTGCACGGCCCGGCAGGTGAACGAGGACTGGTTCCTCTGCTCGGTTGCCCTCACCTCCAGGGTCCTCGTCAGCGAGAAGGTCCCGTTCGGGTTCTCCGTCGGGGATGGGGACTTCTCTGGCCCGGTCTCATTCCCATTCTCCATCCAGGTGAGCCTCGCCACATTGGGGTAAAACCCCACCAGGCTGCAGGTGAACGCCACCATCTCGTTCACGGGGACGGCACCAGAGTAGTTGGTGGTCAGCCTGGGCCTGGGGGAGACTGGAACAAAACAGCCCTTACAGGGGAGCTCGTCCTGAGCAACTGTGGGAAGGTTGTAGGTGTGCGTGTGTGCGCTGGGGCTGCACCCCAGAGCTGAGACTTGTCTCCAGGTCTCAGCAGGGCTCTGGAGCAGGCGCAGCCTCTCGTGCTGGGCCCCTGGTGTGTCGCGGGGGTGCAGAGCTGTGCACCAGACCCCTTTGCACACCACAACCCTGCCCCACAGAGACCCCGGGGACAGGGAACATGTTGAAGTGAATGCAGGAATCGGGGTGCAGGGAGGCGCAGACTCACCAGCTTTCTTCCTGGGGTGAAAACCTCACAAACCCTCCCTGCATGGTTTAAAGTGGGGCTGGTGCCGTTCCAAGGCTCCCCTCATCAGCCCCCATGGGCAGAGCACCGTCTCCAGCCTGGCCGACGATGGGAGCGCCCGGTCTGGCCCAGCCGGCTCCTCACCTCGCAGGGCCTGGCTGAGGCTGTACGTCCCCCGCAGCGGAGCCGACATGGTGCTGTGCTCGATCTGGCAGGTGAGCTGGGAGCGGATGTCCCCGACCGTCAGCGTCCTCGCCAGGGTGCTGGACACGCAGTAGGAGTCTCTCTCATTCTCGAGGAGGATCTGGAGCGGTTGGGCTGGGAGCTTGGCCCCGTCCTTGAGCCAGGTCACGGTGATGTCTCCGGGGGAGAGCCCTTTGGACGTGCAAGTGAAGTTCACGGGGCTGCCCGGCTCGACCCTGCTGGCGGGGCCGGACACGGATGGGGGGGGGCAGGTCCCCACGGCCCCCGCGCTGCACACAGCACATCCCTGCCCGCACCCCGCTCTCCTGGCCCCACCTGTCTCCCCGAGCACCCCCAAGCCCGCCTGCACCAGCCCGTGTCCCCGCTCAGCCCCCCTCTCTGGCAGTGCTGCCCAGGGCAGGCCACGGGCAAGCCCCGGTACCTCACGGCTCCTCCCTGCGCACGAAGAGGAAGAAGAGGAAAACTCCGATGAGGCCCTTCTCCAGGACGTACCCAACCCAGAGCCCAGGGCTGGACAGCAGACACTGGCCTGGGTGGGAAGGTGTGCGATGAGCAGGGGCTGGGCCCGTGCGGGGTCACGCACAGGGGTGCAAGGAGCCCAGCTCCCACAACAGGTGCTGCCTCAGGTCCCCCGCCCCATCCGTCCCGGCACCGTTACGGGCTCCCTGCAGCTGGACACGGCCTGGGCTCTGCGCTCGTCTTCCTCGGGCAGCAGACCTGCTTTGTCCGCTGTGCCGGGGCACGCCCCTGCCTGCGGCTCCTCCTCCATCTTGTTGCTCGTCGCGGTGACTGCCAGGACGCGGGTGACGCTGGCGGGGGGCTGGGAGTCGTGCACGGCCCGGCAGGTGAACGAGGACTGGTTCCTCTGCTCGGTTGCCCTCACCTCCAGGGTCCTCGTCAGCGAGAAGGTCCCGTTCGGGTTCTCCGTCGGGGATGGGGACTTCTCTGGCCCGGTCTCATTCCCATTCTCCATCCAGGTGAGCCTCGCCACATTGGGGTAAAACCCCACCAGGCTGCAGGTGAACGCCACCATCTCGTTCACGGGGACGGCACCAGAGTAGTTGGCGGCCAGCCTGGGCCTGGGGGAGACTGGAACAAAACAGCCCTTACAGGGGAGCTCGTCCTGAGCAACTGTGGGAAGGTTGTAGGTGTGCGTGTGTGTGCTGGGGCTGCACCCCAGAGCTGAGACTTGTCTCCAGGTCTCAGCAGGGCTCTGGAGCAGGCGCAGCCTCTCGTGCTGGGCCCCTGGTGTGTCGCGGGGGTGCAGAGCTGTGCACCAGACCCCTTTGCACACCACAACCCTGCCCCACAGAGACCCCGGGGACAGGGAACATGTTGAAGTGAATGCAGGAATCGGGGTGCAGGGAGGCGCAGACTCACCAGCTTTCTTCCTGGGGTGAAAACCTCACAAACCCTCCCTGCATGGTTTAAAGTGGGGCTGGTGCCGTTCCAAGGCTCCCCTCATCAGCCCCCATGGGCAGAGCACCGTCTCCAGCCTGGCCGACGATGGGAGCGCCCGGTCTGGCCCAGCCGGCTCCTCACCTCGCAGGGCCTGGCTGAGGCTGTACGTCCCCCGCAGCGGAGCCGACATGGTGCTGTGCTCGATCTGGCAGGTGAGCTGGGAGCGGATGTCCCCGACCGTCAGCGTCCTCGCCAGGGTGCTGGACACGCAGTAGGAGTCTCTCTCATTCTCGAGGAGGATCTGGAGCGGTTGGGCTGGGAGCTTGGCCCCGTCCTTGAGCCAGGTCACGGTGATGTCTCCGGGGGAGAGCCCTTTGGACGTGCAAGTGAAGTTCACGGGGCTGCCCGGCTCGACCCTGCTGGCGGGGCCGGACACGGATGGGGCAGACGGGCTGGCTGCAGGGAGAAGCACTCTTCAGGCTGACTTGTCACCAAGAGCCTGAGCCCAGCCCCATGGCACCCACGTCCCCAGGGCAAAGAGCAGCCTGGCCTGGTGCCTGGAGGTCGGGGGCAGCGCTGGGGAAACGCAGCAGCACGTGAAGAAGAGGGAGAGCTGCCGGGGCTGCGGGGGCTCGGTGCCTGCAGGAGCTCGGCAGAGCCCGCTGCGCTGCACTGTGGGTGGATGTGCAGACCGTCCTCTGGCTGGGGACAGCCTGTCCTCTTGCTCAGTCTGGGGCTGCAGGGCCATCTCCATGGGTGCATGCTGGGCCTTTTGCCACGTTTGAGAATTGAAAAGCAGCTGAACTGCAGTGCAGGCACCTGCCGCCACGACTTCCTAGTGGTGTGTACTACGCCGCCCCCCTGTAGCCCAGGAACATCCTGTGTGCTGCCCGCTCTGGTGTGCGGTGTAGCTGGTTGGCAGCAGCTGTAACTTGTGGTGTGGCCGGTGGACCTGCCCCAACTCCTAGGAGAGTAAAGGCATGGTAAAGGCACCTTGGATTACCCGAGGTTGCTCTCCAAGCTGCCGTTCAAGTTGGGGTCCTCCCTCTGGAGAGGGCTTTAGCCCTCAGGGTCCTAGTCTAGTGTCCAGCTGCATTCCCACCCGGGTGAGATGGGCATTTTGATGGTCCAAACAGGGAAAGAAGCCAGAGGTCTTGTAACTCCTGGGTTCAAACGCTGCATGGGGCTTAGGTTGGCTGTTGGCATCCAGAAGATGCAGGATATGGACACCAACCACCCATGAGTCCTAGGGAAACCTCGGGCTGCCAAACACGGCTGAACCTGAGGCTCGCAGGAAACATGGGCTCGGGTCCATTCCAAGGGAAGATGCAGCCTGGTTTGTGACCAGAACCATGCTGGGCTTGCCGGGCTCGGTCTTCTGGTGGATGATGCTGGATGGCTTCATGAAATGCTGGGTGCTTCCCATCAGGACTCCCTACCCTGAGCTCTGAGCGCTAGGGCAGTAAGGGCCTTGGGCTCGAGCAATGTCAGTGACCCCAGCACAGCTGGGAGGCACTCACCTTCCTTCTTGTCCTCCTCCATCTTGTTGCTCGTCGCGGTGACTGCCAGGACGCGGGTGACGCTGGCGGGGGGCTGGGAGTCGTGCACGGCCCGGCAGGTGAACGAGGACTGGTTCCTCTGCTCGGTTGCCCTCACCTCCAGGGTCCTCGTCAGCGAGAAGGTCCCGTTCGGGTTCTCCGTCGGGGATGGGGACTTCTCTGGCCCGGTCTCATTCCCATTCTCCATCCAGGTGAGCCTCGCCACATTGGGGTAAAACCCCACCAGGCTGCAGGTGAACGCCACCATCTCGTTCACGGGGACGGCACCAGAGTAGTTGGTGGTCAGCCTGGGCCTGGGGGAGACTGGAACAAAACAGCCCTTACAGGGGAGCTCGTCCTGAGCAACTGTGGGAAGGTTGTAGGTGTGCGTGTGTGCGCTGGGGCTGCACCCCAGAGCTGAGACTTGTCTCCAGGTCTCAGCAGGGCTCTGGAGCAGGCGCAGCCTCTCGTGCTGGGCCCCTGGTGTGTCGCGGGGGTGCAGAGCTGTGCACCAGACCCCTTTGCACACCACAACCCTGCCCCACAGAGACCCCGGGGACAGGGAACATGTTGAAGTGAGCGCAGGTAACGGGGTGCAGGAAGGCGCAGACTCGCCCTCCCCCTGGGGATAAAACCCCACAAACCCTCGCTCTCACTGCGTGGTTTAAAACGGGGCTGGTGCCGCACCCATCAGCCCCCATGGGCAGAGCACCCATTTCCAGCCTGCCTAGCAATGGGAGCACCCGGTCTGGCCCAGCCGGCTCCTCACCTCGCAGGGCCTGGCTGAGGCTGTACGCCTCCCGCAGCGGAGCCGGCCTGGGGCTGTGCTCGTCGATCTGGCAGGTGAGCTGGGAGCGGATGTCCCCGACCGTCAGCGTCCTCGCCAGGGTGCTGGACACGCAGTAGGAGTCTCTCTCATTCTCGAGGAGGATCTGGAGCGGTTGGGCTGGGAGCTTGGCCCCGTCCTTGAGCCAGGTCACGGTGATGTCTCCGGGGGAGAGCCCTTTGGACGTGCAAGTGAAGTTCACGGGGCTGCCCGGCTCGACCCTGCTGGCGGGGCCGGACACGGATGGGGCAGACGGGCTGGCTGCAGGGAGAAGCACTCTTCAGGCTGACTTGTCACCAAGAGCCTGAGCCCAGCCCCATGGCACCCACGTCCCCAGGGCAAAGAGCAGCCTGGCCTCGCGACTGGGAAACGCAGCAGCACGTGAAGAAGAGGGAGAGCTGCCGGGGCTGCGGGGGCTCGGTGCCTGCAGGAGCTCGGCAGAGCCCGCTGCGCTGCACTGTGGGTGGATGTGCAGACCGTCCTCTGGCTGGGGACAGCCTGTCCTCTTGCTCAGTCTGGGGCTGCAGGGCCAGCAGCTCCTGCCACGTTTCATGGGAACAGGGAGGCCTCACCCAGACCCCGGAGCACCCTTCACCAGCCCCAGGTTCACCCTCCCAGCTCCCATGCACCTTGCAGCTTATTCCTGCAGCTGGCGGTGGGCAGCGATTCCCCCGGCTCGGACAGAAATGCCCCCACCGCAGCACCACCCCACGGCCCACGCAGCAGACCTCCAGCACAGCCACAGCCTGTCCCTGGCATCCCGGCTGCCCGGGGGGCGTTGGGCTGGGCTGGGCTGGGCGGCTCCTGCCTGCTCTGGGGCCTGGCAGGGCAGGGCAGGGATGCTCTCACCGCTCACGGACACCATCATGCCTGCTCCGGATCGGTACTCCTTATCAGGCAATCCTTTCGTGAACTTCACGCAGTAATAGGTGCCGGCGTCCTCGGGGCGGACGTCACTGATGTGGATGGAGTAGTCTGTGAGAGAGTTGGGCACAGCCTTTGTGACCCGGGGGAATGACCCTGTCTCTGCATGGACGAGCTGGCGGTCGCCACCCGAGCCCTTGAACCACTTCACTGGCCCTGCTGGTCCGCGCTGAGGCACGGTGCAGTTCAACTCGAGCGTGTCCCCCGCCGACACCGACACGGGCTCCTTGGGCTGCAGCACCTGGAAGTCCTGGCCCCCGGCACCTGGGACGCAGTGAACAGGACAGGACGGGGTGAGCGGTGTGGCAGAAATGCCCCCGTCGGTACCCCTGCCCAGAGACCCGTCTGTGCCAGCCTGAGAGGCTGGTGTTGAATCCCGCAGGGCGGGGATCTCCCTCCCTGGTCTGCATGACCAAAGCCTGGGGCCTGGGAGGCGATGCTCTGGTCACCTGGGCAGGGGAAAGGCCTGGCCCTGCGTGCGGGCCCAGGTAGCCAGGGATGCTTGGGAGATTTGTTGTCTGCAAAGACGGTGCGTTCGTGCCCGGCGCGCTTTTGCCAATAAACACACAGCGGTGGAGGATCCAACTTAATCTTTATTATTCCAAGTCTGCGCAGAAAGGGGGCACTTGGCGATCGTTCGCAAAGCAAGCACCCACCCAACTTAGTTGGCGTTAGCCTTTTATACTTTTCTCTCACCCAGCACGCTGCGCAGTTACTATTGGCTGCTTCTTTTAGCCCATGCGCACATCACCTTAGCCACAGAACATGCCCGTAGTTGCCTACGTGGCATCTTTTCTCAGCAAGCAATCTCTTCCTATCTTACATACACCACACCCCGCCCAGCGCCAGCGCGCGGCTTCATGCATTTAGCTAGAGAGAATTAGAAAAAGCCTAAGTCTTGCGTACATCAGATTGGTCGGCTGGTGGCCAGTGTGGGCAGCTTCCATTGGACCGGGCTGCTGAGGTCAGAGGGGATATAAAAGGGCCCGGGCCAGGAAGAAGGCAGCCATTAGCCATGCGGTCATCCAGGTGAATCTGAACCTGGGAGAGGAGCTTCACCATCTCAACCGGGCTCTCTCCTCATCACCGCAGGCGCCAAGAGCGCCCTGCCTCCAGAGGAAACGCCAACCACCTCTGGATGACGCGTGTGAGTAAGATACTCGAGATCAGACTAGATATTTAGCTTCAGTAACTCAGATGCGTGTTCAAACGGCTACCTCAGCCACCCTGGTTTGCTCGATGGGATTCCTCTGATATTGCTCTACCTTTTGCCCTGTTTCCGCCCTACCCCCGTCATCAATAAAGTTCTCCTTGTGACCGGTGTGGGAGACTCATTGAGGGGTGGGTCTGAATTATGCCGAGGAGGCCCCTTAGGTCGGTGGACTAAGAGAGACTTTCCTAATCAGCCCCTGACTTGGGGAAGTGCCCCAAGTGCCTGTATTGGGTCTAGCACCCATTGGACGATCAGGCCTGTGTTTTCCAAGGTGCGCAGAGCCAGAAGTGAGTCCAGAGCCTGGGATGGTGGCAGCGGGACCCCCAGGCTAGCGGGTGTGCTCCAGGGAAGGGGTCGGCCGCACGG